CAGGTTATCCCTTGTTTGCAGTAATTGCATGTATCATCCCTTTAACATGATAAAACTAATCAAATGTATCATCCAAGGCCTGGATCATCCAGTTCAAAGCAACAAGTGCAGTTATCAAAGAATTTCTTAGCAAGGGTGTAAACATATTTCTAGATTAGGTTTCAGAAGAATATTTGGAACAAGGAGAAAGTGTATGATGGCTTGAGGAGAACGAAGAAGATAAGGAAGGACAAACAGAAAGAAGGAAAATGAGAATCAAACAAGAAAATGAGAAAATGTAACAATGAAATAAAAAGTACTACGACCGCAAAAATAAGAAATAATTATGAAAGACGTAAAAAACACAGTTTAGTGCATGCACAATAAATCTAATAGTGATTGAACACTCACCAAGGAAAGAATATTAGCTCAACAGGAGTTTCAACAGATAAATAATCGCATATAACCAAGTAATGAGCTATAAGAAAACTAAACAGCAAGAGTTTCAATAGAATAAATGATATAAACAAGATAAATAATCTAAAAGGCAACTCTACAGCAAGGTGTAGTTTTGAATTGGAAGAGAGATGTTCTCTATACCCCATCACATGCATCTTTTCTAGTGTGGCCAAAAAAGAGTTCCAATAGATAAATAATTGCATATAACTACGTAATGAGCCATAAAAAGAACTAATAGTCAAATGCGAAGTAACCTTATGCTAATAGATTCTCACGGAGGAGCATGGGTAGAGTTAATACATCGTCGGAGGCTTCTAGGTATTTCACAAGGATAAGGGCCTGAGTCCGTAAGGTGAAGCCCCAACGAGATAACGAATGATGTGCAGATTTAAATAATGTATTAAGAAGTATCTACAAGAAAGAAGTAGGAGAAGGACCAGATCAGCAGTTAAGAAACAAATGATGGGGCCAGTGAAGCATTTGTGCGCTCACAAAAGTACTGGAGTAGTTATATCAGAATCAGGTATGCTTAAACTTGCAATCCGGACCAATGTTCTCCATGAATGAATATAAGTTTAGCTTCGATACTAGAGAAGCAAAGTAGGAAATTGATGGAGCCCATTACAAAGGCATATTAGTTAGTTGATTGCGCTCAGTAAAAGTATCTTATTGAACTACATAGTCCAGGGGATCAAGTACATCCAGTGGTCTCAATTGTATTATGTGCCACAATCCCTTTATTATTTTATCTATTATCATATATAGCACCACTGTTAAGGGTTGGATATGAGAAACCTAATATGATAGAGCATATAGGATAGATACCTAACACAGAGAAGTAGAGTCCAATTACACACAAACACAAAGACATCCCCAAATGAGATATCCATAGGACATGATATCCATAGGACATGATAACATGATACATGAAAATAATCAATTTGTCTGTACATTTTGGCAAGTTTAACAATGAGTATGCAAAAGACCTCATTGGTAATACACGTTTTGTGTCTATTAATTTGACCCTTTTTTTAGTTTTTCTTTGTTTTTTTGCTCTTTACTTTTTTCTATTGAGTACTTTGATTAGACTACCTTTTCCTCTAGATTTATCTTTGAAAGCTTCAGACTTCAGAGTTCCAGGAGTTTATTTTAGTTCATCAGAAGCCTGATCTATTTGTATATTGCTGCGTACTATACCAGCTTCAACAATGAATATAATCTCATTAACAATGAAAGTTTTCTCTACCAATCTATTTGTATATTGATGCGTACTATACCAGCTTCAACAATGAATATAATCTCATTAACAATGAAAGTTTTCTCTACCAAAGAGCTACTGCACTAGTTCATATTATTTTTCAAATTTTACTACAAATTGCTTTGATTTGAACATTTTTCCATAGTTCATTGATCTTGGTACATGTCATGCTATGCATGGCGCTATATTAGTATGTTAAACACAGAAAATACAAACCCCTACCCATTTTTAGAAATAATTAGCAGTTTTCGAATGCGTTAGTGGGAATGAAAACCTAAACCAATAGCTGAAGAGACTCAACTGGTGTTACTGCCACAACCTCAACCCCATTCCCAAAATTTAGTACGTTAAACACAAAAAATTAAAGGTTCTCCAAAGCCATCTCGATAAGTAAGGCACAATTCCTAGGTCCGCTCTTCTTAGCATCAAGCAAAGTCCCATACTTTTATAGTATCATCATCAGAGCAAGAGCAAAACTTCAGGTCCATCCTTGAGAAACTGTGAAAAAGAATAGCTCCATATATTGCCCATGGATGATTAATAAATACATGTCTGCTTGCAACTAAAAGTTAAATGGTCAAAAAGTTCAAAAAAAAAAAAAAAAAATTAGAGAGAGTCACAAACACGTAGCTCAAGTCACAAACGTACTCTTTGTGTGCAGATTTATTCGCCTTCACATTATTCAAGTCAGATAACTTAGAAGTAAGAACTATCCAGAGACACAGCATCTCTTCAAAAAACATAGAGCAAAGGGGAGAGAGAGAGAGATCACCCATCAACAACGGTATGCATTAATACACATAGAAAGAAAGTAGAAACAGGGAACCCATCAAAACAAAAAAAATAACAGAGAGAGATAGAGAGACAGAGAGATATATAGAGAGAGAGAGACAGATCACCCATCAACAACCAGTATGCATTAATACACATAACCAGAGTACAAACAAAGGACCCATCGAAACAAAGACAAAAAACGAACATAGAGAGATAGAGAGAGAGAGAGAGATTAGCCATAAGAGCTAAGAGTTGGGTAAAACTGGACTGCATTCCATGCCAAGTGTATCGACTAGGAGCTCATGGATGATGGTCAAGAGTTCGGGACTCAGGTAGGAGGAGTTGCACCAGTCACGGCTCCACATCCACATCATGCTAACGGTTCCAAACCATGTTACCATTAAATTAAGAGAAGGTAAACCAACTGAAAGCAAAAATGCTTAAATATTTAACAAAAGTAATTAAAATCTCAAGATCTCAACATTTCAGCCATTGTCGTAAGGGATAAAAGCAATAGGTATTGAACATGATTACCAAAAATATATACACCATGAAGTAAATACTGCATAAGTTCGAAATATTGGAGGTAAATTGTTATAGTTTACCGGTTTAAGATGACCCCCAGACAATATATATTGATGAATTGACTTGTCCCTACTCTGATGGCATCACTGTCTTATGCTAGGGTAAGAGCCACAACCCAGATGCAATCTAAGACGGCCACCAGCTCATTCATGACTCTTGGCCATCTCCTAAAGTAAATCTTGATGGAGTCCAGTCCAAAAGTTCATAATTTAAACTTGATTCAATGTTTCAAGATCTCTGAGATGTTTCTCTGAAAAGGATTGTACAAATTCTGGCTTCAGACTAGATTCTCACCGCATATTTGTCACTCATCGGCCATCTTTTGGAGGTACCTCGCATGCTCCTCGATTTGCAAAACTGCAATTTCCTTTGCGACTCGTTTCCTATAGACATCCAATTGGAAACATGTGTGTGTGTGTGTGTGTGTGTTTTTCTTGGTGAGTGGGAAGAGAAGTTCTCTGAAATCTAAATTCTTAATATTTTGGAAGTAAGAACAGGTGGTTCTTGTGTTCATCAGAACAGCACCAATGTGGTAGTATAGAATTCATAATTTCATATAAAAACAGAAGAATGATAGAAAGAGAAATTTAGTACAAGGAGAGTTGAAGGCCGAGCCAAAATTGAAAGCAAATTTAATAGGGCTCCAACACAAACAGACCAGGTGCCACGTTACCGTTCGTCAAACAGATTGCCATATAAATGCACAAAACTTTGTATCGAGTGTAGCTTTGCCTCTAACATTTCAAGGGGACAATATAGATAAACAGTAAGAAAAGTTAGCATGTCAATATAATAACCCACTAAAAGTTTTAGAGGTCAAATTCAAATCATAAATGACCATTTCCAGAATGGTGGCAATCTAGGACATGGTTTTCACCAAGTGCTTAACAAACATCAGCTATGACCTTTCAAATTCACATCCCAGCATCATCCCTAGTGGGAAACACCACAGTGGAGGTTAAATTCAGTTAAGCATCCATATTTAGTGACACTCCGATGCTGTTTTCCACATTCAAGAAGCCTATAAAGGATGCCTATATCACACACAGAAACTGAACCCATCAAAAGCATGAAATTTAAAAAAAGCAAGTAAACACAAGAAGCCACAAGAATGTCAAAAATCACCTAAGAAACAGTGTCATGTATGCTTAATTCTAGAGAGAGAGAGAGAGAGAGAGATCAGCATAGAAAATTGCACCTGCAACCAAGAGAGGGGAGGGCTTCACTCTACTGTCTGAGTTGAACTGCCAGTAGGAAAAAAAGCGAAGGGCTGGGACAGCTGACAGAGCGCTATTGCCACGACTCGACCTAG